AAACTAAAAGAAATTCTTGTAAAGATGCCCTGGGCACATCCTTGCTTGTCATAATTGTCATAGAATGGTTTGGGTTGGAAGATACCTTAAACATTGTCTAGTTCCAACCCCCCACACCATGGGAAGGGACACCTTCCACTAGACCTGGCACTTCAAAGCCCCATCCAAACTGGCCTTGAACACTTCCAGGGTTGGGGCATCCACAACTTCTCTGGGCAACCTGCTCCAGTGGATGCTTTTCTTATCTTTCTTCCTCTTTGTGTTCAGTTCAGCTCTATCTGCACTATTAATTCAAGCAAGCTAGAAGCCTCTTCTCACCTCCAGTTCCCTTCCTGCAGACGAAACTGTTCTCTGCAAAATGGCCCTTTCTTTGCCTGTTTTTGTCTTTTTGCCTCCTCTGATTCTGGTTTAGATGCTCTTCTCTTTTCTACTTGTACTTAACTGTAGTGACTCCAGACTATAGTAGTGAGCGTTTTCTTTCCTTTATCTCCCAGAATCTGCTCTCAGTAATGCTTTGAGTAACAGGGATGACATGATTTAACTGCATTTAAGACTACAGGCATACATTGTTTCATTCAACCTGACTTTTTGTTAATCATTTCACAAATCATTAAGCCATTTCCTTACAGAGCCTGTTGAGACTTTAGGCAGACAAAAGCATTTCAGTTTTCAGGATACTAAATAGCTGTATGCTTCCACCAGGGACACGAGAGAGGTGCCACAAAGCCCAAGGCACGTACCTAAAATGGTAGCAGATTGACTAATATTCTTAGAATATTTACATGTTTTATCAAGGTCATATGAGTGCTGGATGACCATCAAGGCACCCAAACTGGAAACTAGGGGAAGGAGAAGAAAGACTCCTTTGTGTTGGAGAGGAAAGACAGAGCCAGGTGAGGTCTGGAAGGGTCTGGTTGGTCAGCTGAAGTAAATGCAACCATGACCACACTGATCTGAGTCCTAAACCTCAACGTAAAAATAAGAGGACCCCGAGCCTCCAAAGCAAAGGTAAGCTTGAGGCACAAACCATTCCTTATGCTGCAGAGAAGAGTAAAATGTTTCTTTTAGTCTCAGTTGGGGCTGATCTGACTATTTTATTTGAGGTAGGGCTACTACAGACTGGTAACAAACCATGTATTTCTTTGATCTTTACTTGGCTTGTTTTTGGTGCTGAGGAGGGCTGAGGGGGGTAGATTTCAGCAAGAAACTGGTTATTACATGGTGAATCAGATGCCTCAAAATACATGTTTTGTACATGCTGGTATCTCCTAGGGTACCTGTCTGGCATTCCAGGAAGGCACAGCCTTCCAGTTGGTCCTGAGTCTAATCTGTCCAGACATCTTTTCTGGGTGGCTCAGGTATCCTTTGGCCCATGAAACAGCAGGAGGTCTTATGCTTAAGTGCTGAGCTACTGCCTAGATGAAATACTCATTTGGTAATGTCCACCTTCCTTCTGAATATGTCTGCATGTTCCACCTCACACACAGCTAGGAAATTCTGCCAAAATATTATTTTACATTTCCTACCCTACTGAAAGTTATTCTCATGATTTAAAGAAGCCATCTGTGCACTTTATTCTCTCTGCTCACTACCCCTGCTTCCCAAACATGCATGGCTAAGCCAGTCCAATCAGTTATGAACCCTTCCTGCTTCCCACATTGCATTGCCAGGAGTAACAAGTTGCTTAGAACGTCAGCTGTCTCTGTGTGGATTATGCCCACAGGCAGCCAGGAATCTGGACAAGACCTGCGAATCTGGCACTATATTCAGTATACCAGTATATGGTAGATTCTTAGCTACACTATTTACATATTCTTCCCACTGCTCTGACAGGAGCTCCTGAGAGCTCCTGCTTCTGGGCTTAGCACCGGTGAAGCAGCGTGGGTGTCTTCCCACAGGATGCAATCATGTCCTTAAGCCTTGCTCCTGCGACAGCCAACTGAAGCTTACCCTTTGCGCCTCAGCTGGTATATAGCTGCACCCTTAGAGCTAATTTGCCAGTGTGGAAAAGCTACTGTGACAAAACAATTCTGAAGGGCTTCCTTGCAAATGAAGGAATAGTTTCTGTGGCATTAAGCAGATTTATCTTACCCATGAATAACTTTGTTTTCTCTTGCACTGACTTTATCTAAGCCCCATGATAACTGCATTTGCAAAATGGATTAAGAACATGGATCAATCTGGCTGGCAAGTATCCAAGTCCCTGTGAGGACACCAAGAGACACACGGAGGTCACATCTTGTTAGCTTAATCATGGAGGTATATTCAAACTTCAAACTTTAAGCACTGCCTCCAATTTAATAGCGATGCAAATCTACCCTTTTTGGTATAATCGTAATTTTAATCTGTAAGGAGGTACAGTATTCTGATGATTATGAAGTACCAACAGATGTGCAGACTGAAAAATACTGGGAAGTCATTGTTTGAGTTCATATAACTGGAAAGAAGAGAAAGTAATCGCCAACGCTGGGGCATGAATAATATAAATAATAGCAGCTCCTTGTGAGAAGTCAAAGGTAGATACTATAATTTCTTTGGACTTAGAACAAGTTAAAAGAATATAAGGAGTTCATGGATCACAAAACCAGTGTATCCTACAACCCATGCTCCATCATTTCCTTCTCCCTAACCAACCATCCTGCCTTGAATTAACCTGCTTGAATCTGCTGGGTGGCTATTATGTAATTAACCATCAGTCTGTACAACTGCCAACTAAAATCTATTTATTGACAGTTTTTTTGTTACTGTGTCAGAACAACCATTTAGTGAAACAGCCTCTTCCTGTTCCTGCTGTTTACCTTCTTGTCTATTTTCCAAGTACAGTCAGAGCTTCCTTTAGACTTACTCTGGCTGGGCTCAGATGACCCTACTCTTCCAGTTTCCCTTTGTTAGACAGTCTCATCACTCTTTTGCACTGGGGGAGAGCCCTTTCCCGGAACCTGCACCTTTCAGAAATCACCTTTCTGGAGTCCAGAGTTGAAGACAGGGGAAGGCTTTGGGACCCAGTGCATTGGCACAAACACTTTGCACATTTCTTAGGAGATAGTAACATCACTACACACTAGAGACTGCACGCTCTTTTCTTTCCATGGTCATATTGTACTGGTGGCTTGTAGGTACCTGAGTACAAACAGGACATTTTCCCTTTGATTTAGTTGTAGAGCTCCACTTCTGATTGCACAGACTTGCTTAAAACCTGTATACCAGGCAGGACCTAGTTTTCATGATTTCATAATTGCCTAAGTTAGATCCAAAGTCTCTGTTTTCCTTCCACTTTGCATATATTAAACTTTCGCTTCACCACACTTCCAATGCGATAAATTCCATTTCTGTAACTTCACTCCCATTTGCCATTTTGCCCTCATGTTCAGAATCGTCATCCTCACCAAAAACAGAAATGAAAAGTAATTACACTTGGAGGCCACACTTTTGCTCTTTTGATACATATGGCTAAAATTTATTTTGACTTTCTTTGCAGGTTTTACCTCAGTCTGCTGGTCAGCAAGTCTCGCTTTAACTCTGTACTGCCTGGAATCTGTTACTTCTGAAACTTGGTTTTAAATCAAAAGCTTTATTTAGAAGCCCTATTTTTTTTTTACCCTTCCCTTCAATTTACTTGAAACCAGTGCAAGATCCCATAAAGTTATATCACATAGCAGAAACTTCCTGAGAAAGAACAGAGAAAAGGGGATATACGTCAGTGTGGTTGCTGTGTATAATTTTCATGATGACTCTTGTCAGCCTCAGTTTACAAATTATCTCAGACATGGATATGCCTACAGTACAATCAGGAACTCTGACAAATTGGTGACTGTCTTGCCAGATGGGCAAGAGGAGGCTGCCCTCCTCAGCCCTATGTGTGTTATTCAGTTCTGGCATGGGGTTTCTCTGAGGGTGGCATCTGCAAAGCAGTATTGAAAGGTTTCACTACCACTTGGATGTGACTCACCAGAACACAGATGCCCTGGATTTTCAGTCCCAGGAGCTACAAATCCTGAGGCACTGCGCTACAGGGGGATGTACACACCTCTCTGCACGCTGGGAGGTCTGCATGGTGGAAGGATGGCATCCCCAACACTTCTTCCACAGAAACAAGGTCACACAAACAGACAAGCCACATGAATGAAATTCACTCAAAAAAAATACCCTTTGAAATCTGAACAAGTCTTTTAAAGGTGAGGGTCTGTGCTCCTCGATACAAATATAAGCAGCAATAAATACCTCTGCAGTGCAAGAATGCTTATTAACCTGGCTCTGGATTGCCAGATACCCTCTCTGCAGGGCAGGCAGCTATTAAAAGCTTGGTACTTGTTATCCTTTTATCTCCCTTGGATGTGGTGTAGTGAAGCAGAGCATGCTGATACATTGCCCAGATATGGTGCCTACAGATGTCCTAACAAATAAACTCTCTTTCAGGATTTGGTTACGAGTACTTGAGATTAGTTCAAAAGGAGAGTCTGTGGGAATGTCTTTCTTAGGCTGCTCTTCAGGGTGCATTTCTTTTCTTTCATCACCTCTCTCTTCATCCTGATAATCACTGTGCAAAAGAGAGGTGCAGTATGTCACCCAGTGATGCTAGAATATAATGAGTACCATCAGGAATTCTGCTTGTCTTCCGTAAAAATCTCATAACTGAGGGCTATTTCAAAACTCCCTGTCAGTTCTGTGCCCATATTTCTTAAAAAACAACACTTAACAGCCATCATTTCTCCAGTCAGGCTCATAATTCCTTCTCTCCACATTTTTTAAACAGCTACCTCATCTCACATCACTCTTAGCATAAACTGAGGTTGACTGATATCTGGATAATATCAGTCGTTCTTTTCTGATTAGTTACATACACAGAAAGGGGTTTCAGATTTTGTTTAGCTGTACTGTCCTGGCTCTGTCTCCTAGGATAGAGAAAAAAAAAAAAAAGGCAATGTTTCTGTCTTTGCAGGTTAAGCTTTCCTGCATAAAACCAAGAAATGTGCTTCTGTTTCCCTTTGTACTGAACTTACCTGCAAAAGGATCCTATTTCCATCATGGTCTTCTGTCTGCCACCTGCCTTCACTGATGGGGCTGCACGGGTTGGGTAAGAGAGGCACAAGCTGCCCCACATCTTTTACTCTGAACTCCAGCACTGCTGACTCTGTCGTCATTGGCACCTGGCCCTTTGGAAGTTTCTTTAGAGAAAACTGAATGTCTATTTCCATGTTAGAATAGATAGGAAAAACACAAAAGTCTGCTTTTTTCTGACATACCGGTCTTTTCAATATTAACTCATACAGTTTCAAAATGTCCCCAAAGTTTTCATTCCTGCAGTATATGGTGAAGCGGATCATTTCTTTCCCGTAGTGCACTGGGCGAATGGCCCACAGAGGAGTCTCTGGAGCCAAAGTGTAAAAGTCTTGGCTGCATGGCATGTAAGGGAGGAATTTCCCATGCATTAGCTCTGTGTGGTGGTAATGCCAAGGTGGCCGCTGAAAGGTTTCATGGAGCTGCAAGATTGGTTCTTCTCCATACTCCTCCTGCAGAAACAGAATGACGGCAAGGGCTGGCTGAGAAACACCAGCCTTAGCTGGCTTCCTGCGCTTCTTGGGCAGTCGTCTTTCTGAGACTCGGAACAGCTGGAGGTCTGGATGGATCCAGGCTAGAAGCTTATCAATGGCTTGCTGAAGAGTCTTGGATTCACCTGGGTCTGTGATAATATGTACACTAACAAGGAATGGGTCTTGTATGCCTTCCACAGAAAGTTCACCTGAAATATATATAAAAAATCCTTTAGGATTTGTAACCAAGCTGTCAACATTTAGGTGATCCTTAAAGAAGGCACTGTCCACTCAGTCACAGTGTGCTTTTTTTTTCATCACTCTGAAGCTCACCTGTATTAAACAAAAAAAAATTGTACAGAGATACAGCAACCAAGAAAACAATCAGAAGGCAGAGAAACTTCATCAAGCATACCATAAGTTACTGTTTCTGCTGAAGTAGCATCCGAAAGACATTACTCAGTGTGCATTTCTGTGTTAGAAAAGAGCTGCTCCATGTAGCTGAGGTAGGAAAAAAAAAATACTGACATAAAGCGGGGCTGAAAGGGAGATGAGTGATGTGCAGAATGATCATGATGGACAATGTTCATTCCACCTTGTTTTAATTTGTGCCAACTGGCTTCAGCCATGGAAATCACACCACTGAACTCCACTCTATCACCCCGATGTTGGAATTTTCTTAACGCTCAGTTAAGAATGTTTTGTGTCCCGGAGGAAATTGTTCTAAGAAGTACGGTGAAGTCTGTAGGGAGAGGTAATATCTTTTATTACAACAACTGATACAGTTGTGATTAAAAAAAAAAGAAATAAAGAAAAAAAAAAAAGCAGAGAAACCTTCAGGCACATAAGTCTTTCTTCAGGAGAATATATTACTTGTCCCAACAAATCCTCCACTGTTTATATCTTCAGACTATCAAGACTATAATACTACTGCTTCAAGGTTTTTATAAGATTAGGGAAGACTCATAAAAGCAGGAAGCACACAAAAAAATTACACTTACTCAGGGGAAGAAAAAAAACCTCTAGTTAGTCTTGGCAATGTTCACAGGGGCTCTATCTGTTGTTTGTCCCTGAAACCTCTTTGATAGCTCAGAAGCGAAGCAATGTCTGGTTGAAGGGCTGAGGAGAAATTGTTACTTCTGTTCTTCTGGAGTTGCATGCCAATAAAGATGCATGTGCATGGTGATCCAAGACAGTTTAATAAATTAGTCAGGTAACCTTGATATTTCTGCTGAAATGGTTCCCCTTGTGTGGTGTTCTGAAACCACCTCCATGTCTGAGACTCTGAGCCTAGGCACAAAGCCCAAATGTGTGAAACCTTGGAAAGACTTCCCAAGCTTTTAATTGTGCAGACCACATTTAACAGGGGGATTGTCTCGAAGGCTATTTCCCCTCCTATTAGCAATCAGTACAAACCTCTCCCTCCTCCTTCCTGGCATCAGAATAACATTCTTGTGATACTTCACCAATTGCTTTAATGGAAAAGCAGCTTTATACGAGTAGTGTATTTTTGTTGTCTTTCAATACAGAATAGCTGTAAGACCCAGAGAAAATCTAGATGCAACTCATAGCTTTTGGAACAGAGATGGCTGGTAAACATACCATCAGCCTCAATTTGAAGCTGCAGAAAGATATAGTATGCACAGCAAATAGCAAGCATGCATCTTGCCTAAGGGAGATTACAGAAAAATCAAATAAGTAATCAAAAATACAATTACAGTGGAGTTCTTGTATCTCTGCGTGGAATGGGTGATGTGGAGTGACTTTGTCAGATGGCTAATGGAAGAAAAAATTGAAGCAAAAAGAAAAACTGTGTCACTATGTGGCTAGAGGTTTGGCTGTAGCAATCATTACGGGTAGGTAATTCTTTGAGATATCCCCATGTGGGGTGGTCACAGTGTGGGAGAAAAACAAAGAGGAGTGTGGGGGAAGGTCCTCTCATGGTCCTTTACATGGGGCAGCAGGACAGGAAGGAAAACAAATTGCAGAGGACAGTGATCTAATAAAACCAAAAAGAAAGTAATCACCATAGCTACGCAGTCATTCATTTTCTAAGACTGGAATAGAAGATGTTCAGCTCTTTTCTCCCTCTGATTCCTTTGTTACACAAATGTTATCAAAGCCTGCAACAAGTGACAGGCTAGATATTTATGCATATAAATGACTGGAGCTCTGAAAGAAGGCTGGGCACAACAACGTGAAGCAGAGAGTCGTCGTTGCTGACGCCTTCTTGCTCTGCATTGAAAAAAAGTCCCTGAGCACGGCTTTTCTGCCCTCCTGTTGCTCAGCATGGTGCATGGACACTGAATGGCTAACGCATTTTTCACAAGTAGAGCCTTGTGGCAGCCAGTGCCTGCATTAGTATTCTGCAGCCATCACTGCCTGTACCCATCAGCACCAGATGCTCACAGAACCAGCCTCAGAGGCACAGCACAAAGCCATCGTTAGGAGCTGGGGTTATACACAGAGCAGGGCAAATCATCTCTTTTTTGAGCTAGAAGCAAGTCAGTTGAGGGGGAAAAAGTGTAACAGATCAGTGGAGAAAGAGCTTCAGTTCTATTTTATGTTATGCTTTTACTGTAACACTTTTACACCTTTCATTATGTGGCTTCTGTGCTTCTAAAATGGCAGCCCTTTCTATTTGGGTAAGAAAAAGAGAAACTTAAGAAAACCAGAAATATGAGGCAAGAGGAAACTTTCCCTGAACTGACATCAAGTTGCAAATTGTTTCTATGTTACTAACAAGTCTTTTTGCTCCATCTGACAAGGAAGGAGGGGAAACAACACCATTTCTCATGACACAGTTCAATTTGCCCCTGGCAAATTGTTACAGAAGCAAATGAAAGCTCTGCATATGTATTAGCCTTCCTGTGTTACTAGTTAATCCCACAGAAAATATCAAAATGCTGAGGCATCTATTTGAAAATAAGCTTCACAGTTCTCATAGCTGTTACATTTTTTCCCTTTCTATGACAGAGGGGGATTAGCTCTTTTTCAGTTGGCAAGCACTAACTTTGCTAATAGGTAATTACCACCAGGATTGAGAGAGTATTTTACAATTTTAAACTTTTTACTCTTGTGTTAGGTATTATTAACCACCCATAAGAGGTTAAAGCAGCAGCGCAAATGCTGTGGGGCTGTCAGACCTGATGTCTTAAAGCTGGAAGTAGAAGGTGGCCTGATATTTTATGACTGAGCTTTGTATGGATCCTTCTCTGTATAATATTTTTATTTTGTTGCTGATGTGATATTGCTGAGCAGAGATAAAAGAAAGTCCTGCACAGCAGAAGGGAAGTCTTTCCCTGTGGTTCTTCCTTCTCTCCTCTCCCTGCCCAGAAACCACCATCTTTTCATCAGAAAGACAATATGACACGAAGCAGTGGGTCCTGTCAAGTCTGTCTGTGCCAGCTACCTCATTTTGGTTTGACTTCTCTAAAGTTGAAGCTGCCTTGGCTAGAGAATAGACAGGACAGGTTGCCTACACCCCTTGCTGTGTGCATGGAGAGAGGCAGCCATCTCTGAAAAACCTGTGGAGGATGATCTTTCCTTCCTCATTCTTTTCCTCCCCCCTCACTCCAAAGGGAAGAGCAGTACCTGCAGAGAACAATCTTCTTGGTATCCAGAGCTGTCCAGCCCTTCCCTGCCTGGAGGCGCCTGGCTGGATGGCTACAACAAGGGCTGGTGAACGGTGTAGAGAACAGGTCTTAGGAGGAGCAGCTGAGGGAGCTGGGCTTGTTTAGCCTGGAGAAAAGGAGGCTCAGGGAGTACCTCGTTGCTCTCTACAACTGCTTGAAAGTAGGTTGTAGTGAGGTGGGGGTTGGTCTCTTCTCCCAAGTAACAAGCAATTGGACAAGAGGAAATGGCTTCAAGCTGCACCAGTGAAGGCTTGGATTGGATAATAGGAACAGTTTCTTCACCAAAAGCATTGTCAAGCTTTGGAACAGGCTGCCAAAGGAAGTGGTGGAGTCACCATCCCTGGAGGTATTTAAAAGATGTGTAAATGTGGCCTTTAGGGACATGGTTTAGCGGCAGACTTGGCAGGGCTTGGTTAACAGTCAAATTTGATGATCTTAGAGGTCTTTTCCAACCTAAATGATTATATGATTCTATGACCTGGTGACACAAATGTCCATGAGTGAAGTGGGAAGCAGTGGGTTAAGGGCTCTTCCCCCTTAGGGTGGTGGTTGAGGGGGCAGCCACCACCCCTGAGAGGTGCCAAAAAGACTCAGGTATCTGGTAACATCATTCTTAATGCAGCTGGCCAAGAAGGCAGGGCTCCTGGCTCAAAGCAGGCACAAGTGGATGCAACATCAAGTCAGCAACCCCAGCATCTGGGAAGCAGCGAAACTCATCTGAAAATATGGGGAACTGGAGCTAACACTCCTTCCTGGAGTATGTATGCATTTAACATTAAACCACACAAGTGGTAAAATGTCCCTAGAGTTTTCTTCCATACCACCTGCATAATCCTAGAGTAGAGAATTCTCCCTCTTTCATTTGTTTATTGGCCCTGGCTCTCTTGCATTGCTTGCTCCAGCTAAACTATGGTCATGACCCGGCAGTCTGGTCCCTCTTTTACACTGTGACACACACAGGTTGCATTC